GCTTTGTTTCTCATCTTTCAACTACATTGCCCCCATTTTTTTCTCCCTGTCCCCAAAGTCACTGAATTTCTGAGACCAAATTTGGTTATTTTTATTTATTCATACATAAACTCCCAGCATTTGCAAAAGAAAACCAAACAAATTGAACTTCATTCTATCACTTTTGACATATGGGAAATACACACTTTTAAATAATGTACACTTCCATAAACCATCTACAAATGATGAATATAGATCAATTTAGCACATTTTGAATCTAATGAATTGCAACTAACTAAAAACTAAAGTTTCCATGAGCTTTTTGTTAAACATGAATTTTCAAGGATGGGGAAAATCATTTAGTTGCAACGACTCACATCAGCAAAAATATAAAAATGCTTTATTACAAAATATTTTAGCTCTGGTATTTCTACTATTTTCTGTAATGTTAGGTACTACCTCACTATAAACTGTAGTGTATATCCATACATAGCTAAAACATTGAGTTACTTCTCTCCGTAAATTGCTTAAAGAGTAGTCATTTTAGTGAATGAAATAAATGGCTATCACAGTCCCATTTATCAATTGTAGTGGGTATTGCACCAATATTCACTGTTTTTGTATCTTGATTCGGAGATAACTATAATACCAGTGAAATTGCTTTATCTTTAGCATTATTTTTCTTATATATAATGAATCTAACCATACCATAATGGTTAGTAATCTAACCATGCAAACTGTTACAGCTGTACTGTGTTTGATCTACACTAGTGGCCTTAAACAAGTTTGCTTCTACACTTGTGACCTTGTCAGATGAAATTTGTCTCCTTCCAAATCAACTTACTAACTTTACTTGCTCTGGCACGAAACTACATGTATAGCATAGAGATTTTCCAAGCGTAGCTTAGATGTGGCACAAGGCCGAAAGTATGGGGCATCCAGTCTACATGTATAGCATATACTGAGTGTACATGTTTAGAAAAGTATGAACAATGTCTTTTTCATACTCAAGTACAAAAGTCCATTGACGATACTGCTGATGTAGATATTGATTTGCTAGAAAATAACTTAATTAAACTTAGGTATATTTAACTTGATGCATTACTCAAAGGTAAATATTTATACTTTGACTCATTTCAATAACTGTCTGTAAATGATAATTACCATTTTCAACAATATTTACTAAGCTTAGTTTGATACAGTATTTAAAATGCTGAACTTTAGTAACATTGGTAAATGTAACTATTTCATTCACAATTTACAGAAGAGAAAACCTGTAGCAGTCAATTTCATCTAACTTTATCTGCTACTTTTCCCCCTTTTCTTTTAATTATTAGCAGTTTGAATAATTCTTTTTTCTAAATTTTGTGTGAAACAAGAATATGCTTTATTTACATTATTCGAACTATTGTCCCCATCTTTGTCACCATATTTATCACAACGTTTCGGCCGTTGTACGCTCCAGCCTTCTTCAGGTGGTTGGAATGTCGAACTGAACCCCAGTGAGCGAAATAAAGGGTTCAGTTCGACATTCCAACCACCTGAAGAAGGCTGGAGCATACAATGGCCGAAACGTTGTGATAAATATGGGGACAATAGTCCGAATAATGTAAATGATGTACATAATACCTCATCTCAGAAATATAGTCAGACTCTGAAGAATATGCTTGATAGTTCATTTGGTCAGCAGCTAACACCAGGTGTCCTTACTAAATTTTGCTTAGCATTATATTTTCAAACCATGCATGTCATCACCTATTCTTTTGGTATTTTACTGTACTAAGCTTAGTAATGCCAAATGCAATTAATCTGTTTTGAAATTGGTTTTAGCTATTTTTTTTTCTTGGTCAAAGGTCATTGCTTGGAATAGGAAATAAGATGGTAATTAAATTCAGCAGCAGTTACTATTTTAATTCTTCTTACCAATTCATGTAATCAAAATAAATATATAAACATGTAATCCTGACAGCTTTTTGCTTTTCTATTTCTCTCTACTATATAAATTTATATATTTATACTACAAGGGGATGCTGAAATGGTCTTAGCTTAGGTATGAATCCCTTCAAAAAAGAAAAGTGTTATTGGAAAGTAGGTCATACCAAGAACTTTTCAACACTTTCTTTGTATTATTAAGTATCTACAGATAAGAATAAAGCAGATAATATTTTGTCATAAGAACTTGCAAATGCTATCATAATAATTATAAATTTTAAAGCATAATGATTTATATGCAATTTGTTTATTTTCTATTTAAACTAGAACTCAAACCTCTCTATTATTCACATACTCACTATCTCCCTCTCTCTCTAATGAAGATCTTTGTTCACTTATGGCACAAATCATTGTGAACATAGATGGTCAGAAAATATGGATGTAGATACATCAATAGGTCTACAGCATAATTGAGTGGGGGGAATGCATGTTATTTGGTTTTTGTTTGTCGTCGCCCCCTCCCCTTCCAAAAAAAAAAAAAGCATAATCACCTTTCTACTGAACTTAATTCAGTAATGGGCATTAAACACATTAAACTCAGTAAAAACTTTAGGTTAAAATTCAGCTAATCATGTGACTTGTTGACCCACCCTTGTATACTGTACACACACACACACATACACACACACACACACACGTTTCCATAAGCAATTTTATCCTCTTGTTGCATTACCATGGTTAGTTATATTGGGTTGGAATAAAAGTTCCTAGCATTTTTCAGTGGTGTCATTTGAATATACGATTTAATTTCTCACATGATTGTGATTTAATATAATACACACACACGCACTGAAAGGTGACATTTTAATAGTTGCTTTTCTCTACAATTCATGCATGGATTGTGAATTTTAAATGTCTAAGTTAAAAGTGAAAGTAGCATGTATTTTGGTATTTAAAGCTCTTATTTCTGGGAAGAAAAATGCTGTGCAAACAACAAAAAAAACTGTGCCATTTATGGAGATAGTGCCATAGCTGAGAGTATTGTTCATAAATGGTTTATTAGGTTCAGAAGAGGAAATTTTGATGTGGAAGACTGAGAATATTCCAGCAAAACTGCAGTAATTGATGATGACCAAATCAAAATACCCATTAAAAATAATTTCAGTCACACAACATAAGACCTCACATAAATGCTCCACATATCTTATATGAGTGTTATAAGGTATTTGAAAACACTTGAATATGTGAATTGCCACAATATCTGAGTGCCTCTCAATTTAATTGAAAAAATGAAAGGGTCACACTTCTATCCACAATTCGCCACAGAAACACAACAAAAACAACCCATTTTTGAAAAGAATAACAGGCAATGGAAAATGGATTGTTTATAAGTGATATAAGTCCTAGGCAAAATGAAATTAGTTACCATTAACTGAAGAAAGTGATGCTGTGAATCTGAAGCGATTGGAAGTGTATTGCTTATTACAAGCTCCTTCTACACAATCAGACTTTGAATGCAGGTAAGTACTGTTCCCATTTGGATTGATTTAAAGGTAGCAATTGATGAAAAGCAACCATAATTGGCCTATCAGAAGAGTGTTATCTTCCATCAGAACAATACAAGACTTCATGTCTTTGCAGACCTGACAGAAATTGGTACAGCTTGATTAGGATATCCTACTACACCTGCCATACTAATCTCACCATACACTTTGGATTACCATTTATTTCAATCCTTCCAAAACTCTCTTAATGGGAAAAATCTTCAATTCTCTATAATTCTTTAAAAATCACTTAGACCAGCTCATCATCCAGAAAGACACCAATTTCTTAGAAGATAGACTCTTAGAGGTACCTCAAATATGGTGAAAGTTAATGGAACATATGTGGTGGAATAAATCTGTGGACACATATCAAAGTATTGTCTTTAAAATTCACTTAAAAACACTGAACTGTTCCAACCCAATAATTCATTGTACTTTGTTTTCTTTCTGTCCACATATTTAACATTTGCAAAAAGTGGCCCAAGCCACATTTTAAAAGTAGTCAAATTCAATTTTAACATTAGTAAATGTGGTAATGTTGCAGTGTTTGTAACCACATTAAAAGTTATTTGCTTGTCTAGAGAAGTCTTTAGGCTACACTTAATAACTCAGTAATTCAAACTTAGTTTCGCTAAAATTATTTCTGTAGATAAATGTGAATTCTAAGCTCATTTTATTTTCTTTCAATTTGTGTACAACTTCAACTCCATAGCCAAACATTGGACAATGGTTTTTTGAATATTTGTATATGCTAACATGACAGTTGTTTCTTTGATAAATCCAGCTATTATAAAATATTAGTAACTGGTTTATTTATTCTTAAAAATGAGCTTATATCAGTTTTATATCACAAAGAAGCAAAAAAAAGATCTGTATTTATATCCTTAAGATTAATGACTAGAATTTTGTTTTTTGTTCATGTTTTGTAGTAAAATGAAGAATTGGTTTGGGCAAATAGCTTTAAAAGGCTGAACTTAGTTTTGTTTTGCACTTTTCAATTTATACAACCACTGAAGAATTTACTTGTTTTGCTTTTTTTATATGATGTAATTAATGTTGGTATGTTAGAAAAGTTATTTGACTACTCTTGATAATTAATAAGTTTAGCTTAGTAAAGAATGAATACAATTATTTCACTACTTTTATAAACTTAAGATACAAGGAGGTACTGAAGTTTTTGCCCTGACCAAGAAATCCATCCAAGAAAAAGTATTGATGATTGATCACTTGGTCAGATTTTGGGAAGTTAATTGGACTGAGAACTTTTCAATACCTACCTCATAATTTAAGTAAATGCCAATGGTGTTAAATTATTTAAATTTTGTTTGTTCTAGTTTCCTGTAAAAACTTATTCAGTTTCAAAACATTGGTTCAGTATCAAGACTTACAAAAAGCAAGGTCACATTACATTGCACTTTAGACACATAACCTTCATCAATGGATGATTTGTGCATAAGCAAATATAAACCTAACGGAAATTAGAACTTGGCTCTCAGATTTCCAATTCTGAGCTGTTATCCATTACACTACCCACACATCCAACTTTACAACACTTGGTATTTTCAAGCGGTCACCCATCTAAGTACTGACCGTGCTTTATGTTGCTTAACTTCAGTGATCATACAAGAACAGGTGTTTCAACATGACTGTAACCCCCTTTTATCTTTCTGACAGTTTTTTTTATCTATTTTTTTTATCAGTACGTTTTTATGTTGAATTTTTCATGCCTTTTTTTTTTTTTTTTAATAGATCATCTAAATAGGATAAAACGCAATGAAAAGATGAAGAAATTAAATATAAGCATGAAATGTGTAATAAAAAATCTCAAAAGAATAACTTCTATTACTACTAGGTAGTCAACAATACAGTGTAGAATCCAAGGAGAGAAGAAAAAATGAGACCCTTTATCAACAGGGATAAGACATTGACACAAGTTCCTATTGTATAGGATGTGATTAGCCAAAGATGGTATTTTAATGGCTCAAATTCCTACTGTTTAAGAGTTGCAGAATATATTGGCTAAAAAAACAGCAAAAATTATTAAATAATACATTTCAGTATATCAAAACAAAGGTTATTTTCAGTTATTTGAAAGAATTTTTCAAGTTCTAGTATTTTTCACTTGTATAGTCTTCAGTTCATTGATGAATTTATTTTGTCTCCTTCCCCCAAATAAATATAACTGACTTCTGTGACAATTAGGTTATCAGCAATAGGAGAGTGAATAAAGTATGAAGAAAAAAAATTGTTAGAGAGGTCACTTATAAGAATTTTGTGTTATTGTAGCAGAATTAGTAGCCTAATGAGTAAGCTGTTCATCATGAAAACTTAACTGATAGCTAAGTAGAGCCTAATTTATTTTTCCATAATATAAAAAATAGTATAAATTATTGAACATGTGGGTACTATGAAGTTTCCTTTGTTTCTCTGCAAAATTATTGCTTAACATTTTGTATTAATTTCTGAAAAACACATTCATAAAACTCTCAAACATAACACAAAATCATTTTCAGCTTTTATATATTCCTCATTTGACTGGATGATCAGTATTATCAAATGTGAAAAATGCCCCTCTTTGGAATATTGTCAACAGATATTCCACTTCTTCCGTTTGTTTATGAAACTATCTCTGCTGCCTCATGCCTCTTAATCTGTATACAAGCTATGATTGAGGAACTTTCAGGAGACAATCTTTTCATTTTATTTCCTGCTACTGCTTTCCTACTCTTAATTTTTTTAACATTTGCATTAAAACTAATCCTCTGCCATATTTCTATAGATAGATGGTTAAATAAGACATAGACTTTTCTTTAATTTTTTTTTTTTTTTTAATATACTTCTAATATGGGCTCAGAGCATGTTAGCAAATGCAGAAGTTGTCTATAATTGCTGTGAAGCCTAGCATTTCCCGGGTCTTTTTAAAGCTAAATGTATCTATTGATGAATATATTCAGTTTTCATAATTTTATTTTTCAACTGTTCTCTTTAACTGATTCACCCTTCCTACAATGATTGTAGTCTGCTTTCAGCTTCATGTAAATTGTATATTTGAAGTAGGCCTTAGAATGGATTGGCTGTAACATAACACTTATTTTAAACCTGTTCTTTTCTATACTCAGCTTTCTGCTGCAGTTTTTAATTGGGGATAGTTAGTGTAATAATAACATGACAGGTTATTATGGTTCCTCTATTAGTAGAAGTAGGTACTACTCTAATGCATACTGCAATAAGCATATATGACTGAGGTTAATCAAAATTCTTTCTTTATTTCTCCCATTTCTTTCTATGTTAAAATCAATATTTGCATACTTGAACACTGGTTAATAAAAAAAAAAAAAAAATAACCATGGAACTTAATGGTAATAATTTTTATTTTGAATTTAATAACATACTAGAATGAAAGTCTAGCAAGTACAAATCTCAATTTATCCTTTTAACAAATCCTGCTATATGTGAATTTCTGTAAAGCCAATGACAAATGCATGTGTACCAACTTTTTTTTTTTTTTTTTTTTTTAGTAGATGTATTTGGTGAGATAGATTTAACTGACATGAAAAAAATATTTCTCTCCTAAGCTTTGCTTAGCTTGGTACAATACCCCCAAAGTATTTAAGTATTGATTTTAAATGGAGGAGAGATATAGGAAGATTGTTTCATCAGTATTCCAATTGAGGAATGCCCCTTAGTTTTTATAATTATCACGCAAAAATCCTGACTCGAATTATTTTAATATTTTTTCTTGGTTTGAATGCTAATTACTGTTGGAGAAATATGCAACTATCTCAGCCATCGAACAATGTTCTAAATTATAAACACAGTCTACAGATAGTCTTATATGGAAATGTTCACTAAGCATAGTTTAGTTTGGTGTAAGGCCTCAGTACTTGAACCACACTCTCTTTCAGTTGTTTCTGAAACTTTCTTGTTAATCATTGTTTTAGATGTTCTTGGTATATGTTCAATATATTAAAAATATATTTACTGAGTCCAGTTTAGTCTGTTAGAAGACTACTTCCAAGAATCTAACTCTGAGAGGATATTGAAAATATCTTGGCCCAATCCACTTTCCCAAATATGACTAAATGACCAAACAATTTTTATTTTTTTTTTTTGTGTTAGGGATTATTGGTCAAGAACTTTTAACCCACTTTCATATATTAGTAATTATCTGCAAAATGAGCTTGCTAAATAAATATCACTATAGTGCAAGTGTTTTATGTTTAATAAAATGTCAGTTGAAGTATATATTAAATTGATTATTTTAATAGAGGTTTGGAAATTATACCAAATCACATAACCCATGCTGATGTTTGTGTTCCATAACTGTTTGAAAAATAAAATGAAATAGCATATTTTTATTTAATATTTTTATTCTACCTCCTTCAAAAACTTTAGTTTTTACTGTCGAGAGAAAATTTATTATCACTAAAAGTATCAATTAGCATTTAGGAATTGTGTTATTGTTTTTAATAGATTAAAAAATTGAAGTGGAAATGTCTTAATTTCATTATTTTTTATACTAATTCAGGTATTAATAAGATTCTAATGAAATAGTTATTCGTTTTTGTCTATGAGACAGGTTTTGCATTAATTAGTCATGTTTTAATTTTTCTTTTTTAACAGTAAATATGCCAAAAATGATTTTTCTCCAAAGCATTCTCTAAATTTTTACTTAATATTATTTGTGAATAATTTCATAATTGTGACCTACCAACTTTTTATTTTCTGAGACTCCTAAAATTAATAAAAAATTAAAGTTAGGAAAATCGGTTGATATTTTGAGAATCATTATACTAATGAAAACTATAGCAATATCAATCTGTGTATGTGGGTTCTTTTAAACTGTTGTTATCAGTTTTGAATGTCAACCTCCTGAAGTTGGGAAAAAAAAATCACTAATTTTGTTTTCATTTTAAGGGTTGCCTTATCTCCTAAACATTTCTTCCATTTTGTCTTTCTTCTAGGTTTTGGTTTTGTAACATTTGAGAGTGAGGATGTAGTGGACAAGGTCTGCGAGATTCATTTTCATGAGATCAACAAAAAAATGGTGAGTTAACTTTTTCTTTTTCACTTAAGAATCTATATTAACTCTTAATTCTACCATTATTTTAAAATGATTTAGGAAATATATTCAAAGCATTGAATTCTAAAGTTTTTAAAATTGTGGTTAATTCTTGAATCATTAATGACCTTCAACGTTTAAAAATTAAAGAGCTTTTCTTTTAAACGAAGAAAATTAGTTACCAACTCCTAATTGGATAGTCTATGCTTTCAGTCTGTTTTCTGTATAAGTACATGGTTGCATATGATGCAACACATTAAGTCTCTTCTATACTCACAAGGAGGTTGGATGGAAGAATATTTACATTAGTAAAACAAGGAGCTTAAAAAAATGATTTAAAATTTTTTATGAAAAATAGTACTTTGAATTGTTGCTTTTCTCTTTAAAAACCTGCTGAAACTAAGTTTTCCTTTCAGCATGTAAATTGTTATTACAATTTAAATGTGAATGAGAAACATTCTGACAGTTGACAGTATGTAAAAAAAAATTATGCCTACTGGTACATGAGTGTTAGGGGACAACAAAGGAGCATGTTTGTTGAATGATCAGTGTAGCATTTTATAAATGAGAAATATAAATTTAGTAAAACAACAAAGTGTGTAGGATACTTGTTATTGCACCAAAGGAATCAAATATTTTCTGTAAACATCTGTTCAAAATTCTCCAAAGTTTGGTAGATTCAACAAACCTGAATTATTTTTATCTAAAACTAAGCTGAAAATGTTGGTCTGAATAATTAATGATATAATACAATAAAGTTCTCAGACACTTCTGAAAACCTGGCCAAACCTAAAATCTTTTAAGAGCTTCTTGGTTGGACTGAATACTTTTTTCAGCATCCCTTATAATACCTAGCCTCAGAATTTCTGACAATATTTCAGCACATATTGAAATTTTTAAAATATTATATGACCACTATATTGAATTCTGTGTGTCATAAAAATGTAAACTTGCTATCATCCTTTCTATAGATAATACATTTAGAGCCATTGATTTCAGTTTTATTCAATTGATTCTTTTACATATAAATGCAAAAAGGTAATTTTCACCTGACTCCCTTTCCAGTTAGAAAATTTTTCTTCATGCCAAATGTTTACAGAAACAGGGTGGAAGGAGAAAAAGCATAAATTTTACACTTGTCAAGTGTAGTTACTAGTAGAGTGGAGAGAGTAAAAATGTGCAGGTTAGCATGTAAGGGAAGATTTTGTATGTATGCGTGTAACTAATTTTGCTTTTATTTCTCAACCTTTTGTAATCACACTTCCACAAGATGTCTGTTTTATAATACATTACGCAACTGTTATAAACGAGACAAGAAATGTGTTCATTTGTTAATTAGATAAGCATACATTTCACTTTTTATTCTTCTTTCTACTCTGCATTTTTTGTCTTATTTTACAATTATCTCAGATTTGATTATGCCAATGGTACAAATTTCAAATTTGATTTCTCACTTTTTGTGGTTATGTTATCTGATGGGGAAAATCAAAATAAAGAAATCCATAAAATGTTTGTTACACTTACTCTGTATAATTTTTATTTCAACTACATATGTAAATTTGGTACTCTTTCTATACACTAGAGTATGTTCATGCAGTATGAGAAATGATTAAGGGATGAGAAGAAATGTATAAGTTGTAATAAATTGCTTCTATACAATTGTTTACAAGTAGTGTAGAAAAAAGTGCTAAAACATTTTTTTTTTAATGCCACAAGTATTTTATTTAGGAATAAGAATTTTGTCCAGATATTCTTTTACCCTCCAATTCTTCATAATGTGCTTACCTTTCTTTTTACTATTTCATAAATTGCACATGATTCAAACTTTTAATGTATGTTTGATTCTTGTAGTATAGAAATGTTCTTTTCTATTTTACAACCAAGAACAGAAAATGCCATGGAAGATAATTATAAAGTCAAATTTTTGTAAGCAAATTTTACAATAGATGCACCCTGTTAAAATTTTAAGGAATTTTAGGTACTTGATAGTTGGGGATGGAAATCTTAGCATGTAGAATAAATGAGAAATTTTGTTATTAATGAGGTGTTGTTGAAATGCATAACAGCTTTAAAGAAAAAGCTGTACAAATGTAAAACAGTTCTCATTGACTGCCAAGACCCTGGCCCAATTTTTCATATCTTGTGTTTCAACTATTTGCATGATTGCAAAATAACTCTGTGTGTGTCTCTCTCTTCCCCTCTTTCTCTATAGAGAAAGTGAGAGGATTTCTTATGCTGTTTGGATTTCATTTTCTAAAGGAAGGCAGGTGCAATCTTTCTAACTACACTGTACATTTGGATTTTTGCCATGCAAAGATGTGTTTGTGGTGTTTTACATTTTGTTTGTCTTTCTCTTTTGTTCTCTCCTTTACTCATTTCTATCATCATTTTGCCTATCACTCACTTTCCTTTGCTAATCTCTCTCTTGCCATCATCTATCTCTCTCTTTCTATCCCCTCTCTTTTCCCACAGGATGGTCTACTTTCTTGTCAGATCTAAAATGCTTTGGATTTCTTGCAACCTCTTGAACAAGTGGGCATCACTCTCATTTTGGCATGAAATCAATATTTCCATCTTTGCCAGGCAGTACCTGTGAGGAAGCAGCCACAAACCTGTACTAACACAGCACCCACCTTGGCAAGCAATGCTCAAACATAAGCTGCTTAGCTCCTCCTCATCCAACTCCTTTTCACCTCCACCCCCACATCTTCATTGCAGTGGCTTTTAACCATGTACTCAGTCTCGTGACCATCCAGATGATTTCAATTGAATTAGTTAAATGTGTTCATGAAAGTGCACAAGGAAAAACTGTACATACATGTCTCTTGATGTTTGTTTTCTCCTAATGCCCCACTCCCAGTCTCTGATCACTTAAAAGCAGGGAGATGACAACAAGGGCAATACACTTGTGTTCTTTATGTGGTACTGCTCATAGTTGGACCTGCAACATCTTCCATTAATATACACAGGTACTATCTTTGTCATATTTGCCATAAGAGTAGAGTGAGTTTAATGATTAGTTATTAGAAGCCAGATTCAATGAAAAAGGTTTTTCACTTGATGGTACTGTTAATGAGTACCTAACAGTAGTATTGATATCAAGGGTAAAACTATATCTGCATGGTCTAATATTGTCTAAGTGTATTATCTATGGGATTATTTGACAGCTACCATCTTTTAAAAGAAATGTCTTTGACCAATCTCCTATACTTTATAGATTTAACAACATATATGTAGAATCTGAATTACTACACTGTGTGTGTGTGTGTGTGTGTGTGTATAGATATAGATATATAGATATATATATAGAGAGATAGATAGTTCTGGATGGATTTATTGTTGCTACTGCTCTAAAAACAGTTTTTATTATCAGCCAGAAACTGTAGTTGTGTTTTTAGGGGTTATTTCTGGTAACACTCTTACACTATCTTCCTACCTCATGACATAAATGTGCATATAAAAGACATACACACCTTCATAATCTGATACTAGACGTAATGTTGAGTGTTAATTGAATTAACCCTCTCCCTTCTACTACAATGACTATATTTTGTTGATAGAACCATGGCACATTTGAAGTAATATATGCACACACTTGGGGTCATAATAGTGAAGCATTCAGTAAAGACAAAAATTCACAAGTTTACATTCAGTATATAAAGTATTTATGGAGATTAATTGAAGCTATATAAACTTCAGTTACTATAGTATAAATATGATTTTTATATTTGTATCATTATGCAGTGTGAAATACATTAAAATGTGTAGGAAAAACACTTCCATGCCCAGCAAGAGTTTTTACTGATATTAGATTTTTTTGATATAAAATTGGAACTGCAAAACTACAAATCAAGTTTTTTTTTTTTTTTTTTTAATGTCTGCATACAAGTTAATATACTATTTCATAATGTCCAAATTGTTTAAGCAGTGTAAATTCTGAATTCATTTTACTAAGCATCTCAACAGGCTGAAATGTACAAAAACCTTCTTTTTTTTTTTTTTAATAGCAGATTTTTCAACTTTCCTAACACTGCCGGCGACACCTGGTTTTGAACTCTTTATTCCAGTACCCCAGTTCATAACTAGTGTTCTGTTAATTTCTAGTCTTTTGCTGAGTCTATTAGTTTTTACCAGATTCTCCTTGTAAATATATTGAGCTGCCAAGTGAAAATACTTTCTATTCAGTTTGCATGAGTTTTGAAAACTTTTCATTGTTTCAGTGAAATTATTACAAAGATAACATTTTCTAATAACAGATTTACTGAATTGAGGTTTGTTTAAAAGTGAAACATTGGTTAATGTTAGTCAAAAATTACACCCCCATTGGAAATAACTAAGGCAAATTTGAAAGAATGATGTTTTAGAGTCAAAACATTTTTTTCTTTTTGAAGTCTTTCTGTTTCTTCCCGTTTTTGATAAAATTTCATTTTTTTTTTTAAGTTAGAGATCTAAATCTCCAAGTTTTAAGATTTTTAGGCTGACAAGTTTGTAATATTTTTGGTGGCAATGTTAAATGTTACAAAATGTTGTTTTTGTTTGATATTTTACTTTTGCATTGATAGACAAAATGAGTCCATATTTAACCAAACATATTTGAGAATATATATATATATATATATATATATATAAAATGTGTGTTATTCTAGTGGGCACCCAATAGGGATCAATGTTATTACAATAACAAATTGGCTTATGAGAGAAGCTGTTGCAAGGATATGTAATCTGCCAATAAAGCCTCAATAGTAAGCATACAATGGAGATGAAACTCAATATACTAATTAGTTTGCAACATGAATTTTCTAATCATCTTGTTCCATGACAGGTATTTCTCTTGAATTATATAGATTAACTTTTCATTTTTAAGTTGTAAAGATGTGCCACAGTAATTGCTAGTAAATATAATTAATAAATACATCCATTTTTCTGTTATTATAGGTTGAATGCAAAAAAGCACAACCCAAAGAAGTCATGCTACCAACCACTCTGGCTGCACGTGGTCGAGGTCTGCCTCGAGGAGCCTACAGTAAGTCTTACTGCCATTTTGAAAAAGGGGGATAACTCTGATTTTATACATTTTTTTTAACTTTGCTGTTAACATGCATAATTATTTTATTTTTTCTGATCACTTTTTTCTTTTTTTCTTTTTTCTTTTTAGCAGGAAAATGCAATTTCTTTTTTATATAGCACATCTTAACTGCACTGACCTTTTGGCTATATTGTTTCCATGGCAACCAATTCTGCATGTCAGATATAGTATTTTATCTTTTTCTGTAAAAAGAATTTCTAGAGAAATGCTAAGTATAAAAGATAGTTAATGTGAAAATTTGATTCTGGTAATTATTTTTTATATATTTTTTTTAAATAGTTTAAAATTACATTCCTAAATTCCTAGCCATAAAATAAAATCTGTTTTATTTTTATTTTTCCATACAAAACCTAGAGTCTAAGTTATTGGTATTCTTTTACTAAGTTCAATGGAATTTTTTTGTATTCAGTTGCGATTGTTAGTTTTAGAAATGTAGCTAATTTGATGTATGTAATCCATTAGTTTGGTAGCTTTGTTTATCTCTATCACATTTTTTATCTTTTACTTTTTTTCAAATTGAGTAAAAGTTTATAATTGAATAGGTATATTGTAAGTTTCTGTACAAAGTAGCATCAAAATATTTAAGTCATCAAATAGTTTTTTAAAACCTTAACTGTTGAAAGTTACTCTTAAAAAAAAAATAAAAGTAAATTTTGGAATATTTGCTCAATTAGTGTTATTTAAATTTGTTAATGTTTTACTGTTTGTTTAAGTGACTTTATGCCAAAATATAAATAAGTGGAATAAAGTCAGTGATAGAGTAAAGGTTATAAAAAGCATAATATATACAATTTTAGATAAAATAATTATCTGCAAGGGCTATACACATATACGAAACTTAACTAATGATTGGGTTCAAAATTAAAATATAATCCCTAACTAGATAAAATCCTTAAAAAAAAGATACCTATTCATGAATTCATTTATTAATTCAAATACTTTTAAATATTTTTTAATTCATTAGTTAACTTTGACAACTGACTGAACATGTAAAAAAAGGTTTTCTTTTCTAAAAGAAAATTTTTTAATTTTCAGTTGGTCATTATGAAGATGAGTATTTCTTTTCTTTTAATTATTTAAAAATATTTAAATGGATTCATGGATAGTTTTTTGGGTTTGTTTTTTTTTTTTTAAATTTAGCCCTGAACAGCCTAAAAACTTCTATTTCACAAAGTGCCATAAAATTTACTCTTCATTTTTATACATTTTTTTTTATCTAATATTTGTTCTTTAAAATATATATATATATATATATACTTTTGTATCCAAGTCTGTGCTGTGACAGCTTTTTATAATTTTATTCTTTCTTATAAGTGACTTAAAATGTCTAAGCTCTTCAATAATTGCTGGAGTTCTTATTTGAAAGATAATTAAACATTTTCAAAAAGAATGTTATAAAGTTTAGACCAAAAATGCATTAAATGCTTGTTTTAATGGCAGTCTGTTTTAAGTGTTCAAAATGTTTCCTTCAAGAGACTGAGTTTCAAACATCAACTAGCATTGCTATAATACTTGTGACAGTTTCTAATTGTTTTAGATTGTTTAAAATCAAATTATATATTTTGTTTTACTGAGTTACTTTCATCCTTTTTATTTATAACAGACTATCAGGACATACACACACTTCAAGATGCTACCCAAGAATTTGGGGAACTGAAGGTGTAAAATGGCTTCTCAAAGAAAGAAAAACTATTGATAGAAAATAAAAATTTTAATTCATTTTAGTGATTTTTGCAAAATGTATGTAATGACTGATGGGTTACTTGACAGATGAAAAGATTGATGAATCTGTTTAAATCTCTAATACTTTAAGATAGTATGTGCACATGTACAATATGGTTGTATGATTTTATATAACTATTGTAAATGTTTATTCTACTGCTGCATGTTTACCTCTTACAGATACATTTCAAGAATGCTGTTGATTGTAGAGGACCTCATCTAATTTCCTAAAATAGCTAATCTCTGAACACTTATTAGTTCTTCATCTTAGTCCATAAATATGATTTATTTATATTCATTCAGAAGTATGGTGTTAAACTATACATATACCTAAACTAGCTGCCATATTGGGCGGCATTTAAGCTAGCTCCTGCAGAGGGCACTTGATTGGGCTTTCGGCTTGTTCAGGAGTTTGAGAGTCCCTAAGTCTTTGCATATTCTCAGCATTGGAAGGCTCTCCTGGCTGCTGTTTGATCTGGATTTTTGTTTGCACAGGACTTTCTTTTCCTTGCTGCAGCCTTGTCGCTTTTGATTGCAATCTGGTCCTCTGTTGACAGAGATTTGTTTTTGCAAGGTATACTGCTGCCATATGCAGTAGGCAACAATAAACTACAGAAGAACTCAAAATTGATCACTGTATTTAAGTATTGCATTAATATTTAAGCTTACCTTTTAAAAGTTCAATGATAATTCTTCTACTGCCACTTAAAGACAAATTTGATTTCCTTAATTTCTGTACAAACAATTATTTTTATTTCATAAGTAACTTTTGCTGGATTTCACAATTAATTTTAATTATTTCCAACTTTATTTCCAAGTTATAAAAATTGTTATCACACAAAAAAAAAAATTGTTGCAAAAATTCACATAAAAAAAATTGCTGAAAAAAAATCATAGTAATGAAAACTTGAAAATCCCAAATTTCATGATTCTAGATCTGGCTTGGAATGTTTTTAATTTGCTCACGGAGTTGGCCTGACTCCAAAATGGTATGTGTTGGGCTATGTTCTTGAGGAGTAAAGTTAAAAAAGTGTGACACACTGACAGTCATATTTATTTATATAGAAGATAAAGATACAATGTCTTTATCAGACAAGTCACAGTCTATTCAAATGAAAATGAATTTTTAACTTTTCTACTGTTTTATTTTCTATAATCTATTAAAATTTTCATGTAGTGATGTTTACAAATATATATATATATATATATATATATACATACACACACACACACACATTTGTAAACATATCATACATGTTATGATTCTTTGTGTATACTAAAGTATTTTCTGATAATTGAAAACAGACGATTGAATTTTTATTATAGATTGCAATCCCTAAGATGCATTGGCATATTGGGCAGTCTAAATTTAGCACTTTAGGTTGAAAAAATAAACCAGGAAATGTTTTTGAGTCTGCTCTGGATTCCACTGAGGGGATTGCACCAAGCCTGATCTCTGTGACATTCAGTTAAAAAAAAAAATTATAAAATACATCTTACGAGGTTGGACTAAAAGCTGATTATGAAGGAATGAGCTATGAAATCTTGCATGCATTAATTTCAACTCTTCTTATTAATAACTGCATTGTTTCTTTCCAGGTAAACTGACATCTGACTGTTCAAAGAAAACTGTTTATCCTGTTGGCCAAAAAAGTCATTAACAACAGATATGACATCATCATCATCACTACAATACTGATTCCAAGCCATGTGTTTTATGTTTGGGAACAGATAATAGTCAAATCGAGAGAATAGGAAGAGGGGGATCAACCAGTTACAGCTATGCACAGCAGACATTTAAACCAAGGACTTGTATGCTGGAGCATTGTCCTGATGGTGTTTAGTCTTGATAACCTTTGATGGTTTAGCCCTTTTGAAGATAATAAATACAATGCCTTTTGCATCCCAGAAACTGAGGCCATCACCTTCCCTGCAGATGAAATGACCTTGGCGTTCTTTGGAAATGTTTGGAAACCAGCTGGATCTGCCTCAAACAATGGCAGATTTTCCCGTGATGTGATCAGTTTAGTGTGCTTTTGATCGGGTTTCAGAAGTGGTGGTACCCACCGAAGAGAAACCATTGTTATGCCAAGTTCATTCTACAGAATATTCTCAACTCCCTCACAGGGTATACTAATAGAATTGGCTACTTGATTTATAGTCAGTTGCCTGTCATCCATCACCATGTGGTAAACACAATCAATGTTTCTCTTGGTAGTGGCAGTTGTAGGACACCCAGACCTTGGGTCATCTTGAAGACTCTCTCCCTTCCCCTCCTAAATTTAACTGTCTACTTTTGCAGTGTTGATAAAGCTGGAGCGTCATCCCCCTAATTTAGCAACCATGTCAGCAGAAATGCCTTTGGGAGTCTAAACCCTTCTTCTGCAAGTACTTGATAACCCCACAATACCAAATTTTGTCTATTCTCAAGAGTAATTTGAACAGTCAGATGTCAGTTTGTCTGGAAAGAAATAATGCATGTATTAAGAAGACTTGATATTAATGCATACAAGATTTCACAGCTCTAGCATCATTCCTTCATAGTCAACTTATGAACTTTTCAGTCCACCCTCATACTTGTCCACACACACACACACACACGCATTCTCTCAAATATGTTTGGTTAAATAATATGGACAAGTTCAGTCTATCAATTTTTTTCAGTATAATATTACTGTGAGTGACTTTAAATAGGTTCCATCAAACATGAGAATACCAGAATTAAAAAAAAAACAGTTGCATAAATATACACTGGAAATCCTTGAGAGAATTATTGCTACCAAAATACAACTTATTCACACACACACGCGCACACACTTTTTAGATTTATGTGACTTAGATATTCCCAAAAAGCTTAGCACTGACCCTATTTTAGTTGATTCTAATATGAGAAATGAAAATAATTAAAATGTACAGGAATATTATAAATGTCAATGCAATTTTCAGAAACATGAGCTAGGGTGTTTTTGACAATGTCCTACACTATAATAAAATATTATTTCCTTTTTTTTTTTTTCTTTTTTTAAACTGAAGCTATTTTATTAATACTTTAAAGATACAAAAAGATTCACCCAGTAACCAAAGAAAATCTTTTATTATTCGCTGTAAAGGATTTTGGCATTAAGTCAGTTTCTATGTTTGCTGCTCTTAGGGAATTTTGTTTTCTATTATAATGAAAAACTAAGTAGATGCAAGCTTTAATTATTCCTCCTGTA